AATGTTTCAGAGAGAGAAACGTATCACACAACAGTTCCTCTCTAAAGAGCAACAGGACTCTAAAGTCTGAGGTTACCCAGACTCAATATGCCTAAATCGTAAGAGGATTTCTTCAGAACAATAACGCCTGCTCTGTAATTTCAGCGGAGCATTTGAAGTCTTGAGTACACAGGGAAATTGGCCCAAATAACTATCAGGTACTAGTCCCTGATAGTAATAAAGGCTCTGAAGGCCAAAGGAAGGCATTAGCAACACTTGTGCAACTCCCTGAGCAGGGTGTACACATGTAACTAATTGGAAACCGGTAAACAATCCTGGTATTGAAGCGCAAAGCAGATAATCTCACTCACACTACTTCAGTCATTTTCTTCTCATGTGGCTGACTGGAATAAAACTGCTAAAATACTGTTTCCCTCATGCAGAAAAAGATCTAGGGGATATAATAGATCACAAGCTGATTAGGAGTCAACAGTGTCAAGCCATTGTGACAAAGGCAAACACTGCACTAAGCTGTGCAAACAGGAGTATGGCTTGCAAGACACGGGAGGTAATCCTGCTCTGCCCAGCACTGGGCTGGGTCTGGCGCTGGGGCTCATTCTCCAGCAGAGATGCAAAGTGCCCACAGAGCATCCAGAAGAAAGCCAGGAGAATAAACAGGTCTGAAACGCAACCAGCGAGGAGGGACTGAGCTGATCAGACGTGCACAACCTAAACAAGAGAGTGGGATGGGAGAGAAACGCAACAACAATCTGCAAATTCATAAAATCATAAATTCACAAAGGGAATGACTTGTTTTCTGTGTGCAGGAATAACGGGTTTGGGATGGGATTTGCAAGCCTCCTCAGGCAAAGAAAGGGTTAACATAGGCATTAGCAAGAAAGCAGCTGAGAAGGCACACAGCTGCAGGGGATAAAGCCACTCGGGAGAGGGCTATCAGGGGACCCCTGAAGGAGGGGGCTGAGGAGCCTCTCAGGGCAGAGATATAGGTTGAAGGGATGGTGGGCTGTGTCCTTTATAAGAGATTCTAGTCTTCTCTTTGGCAGGTTACTGGCCTCCTAGGTTGTATTTACTCAGTGTGTTTGATTGTGAAAAGGGTGTCTTCCTTTAGGCCTGCAAAAGGGCAGGGTGGGGGGCCAAGGGGTTTGTTGTTGGTTTTTTTGGGTTTGTTTGTTGTTTTTTTTTTAATACCCCAGCAAAACTTTTTACCTCTGGACTAAAATGCAAAGCACCAAATCAACTGAGGTAGGAGGAAAGCAGGATAATTTTTGCCTGAGGTAAAATATTAAGCTACTGTTATTAGAAGAGGATTCAAACTGAGGAACTGTACCTTGGGAGCTGAAGATTTTATTCTGTGGAGGGAGAGAGAGAGAGCAAGAAGCATCTCTACAAAATGGATAAATTATGCAACAGGCTCAATAGCTCTAATACTGGGGAGGTGACAGGTGTCTGGATCTTTTTGCCAGAGGGAAAAGATCTTAACCTGCTAAATTTTAGGGGGCTTGGAAATCACAGCAAGATCTAAACTGGATATTAAGAAATTCTTTCTATGGGCAAAGGTAGCAAGGACTGCAATAAATTGCCTGAGGATGTTATGAAGCCTCATGGGCTACAAGGTGTCTGTCAGGGATGATGTCAGGTGTTTGTCACTTGAGCCTGTCTCAGGATGGCAGGACTAGGGGAGCTTCTCATGTCCCCTTCTGCCCTATAGTACTATAATGACAAATATTGTCCCCCCTCTTGCCACTCAACTGTGACATTTTATGAAAATAATGTAGCATTTTTGGAAGCTCAAAGCATTCTTTGAATAGAAGTGGTTTCAGACTAGCTCAAAGCTGAATATTTTGCCTATTCTGTTGAATGATCCTTTCAACATGGTGTGGTCAGGAAATACTTCAGTACTGAAGCTTGTAAATTCAGCAATAGATGTGTTAAAAGAAAACTGTGTATTCACTCATTCTGTCTTTCCAATAAAGATACAACTAACTTAAGTTGCCCACATGCTCTACAACACCAATGAGCAGATTTGTTTGCAAGGATACTGTTTTACCACCTCAGTTATGGCTTGAGCTTTTAAAAAACAAACTAAACCCAGGACTCCTTGGCCTCAATAACCCTAATGATGTTCTACACAAGCAGTTATGCTTTTTCTTTTAAACTCCCAGTGAAATCAGCTGAGATTTGCCCTCACAAGTCAATAGGTCCAAGCTGCTCATACTGTGAGTCTGTGTAATTTTAGATATGTCAGTAAAATGTAAAGAAAGGAAAACAACTTTCTCGATACTGTGTTTTTCCATCAGGATGAGGAAAATTTCTATCTGATAGATAAAGCCTCCAGAATTTGAAAGCCTTAGGTTCACAGTAATAATCCTCAAGAGACTGATTTGTCAGAAATAAAAGCTAAAAATCTGTTTGATGAGAAATGTCTTTGAGTCTGTAATGCTTTTACCTGTTTTGTGAGCTGTTCCTCCCCACCACTCTGTAAAAGCTTTGAAGTAGAGCAATTGGAAGTACAACGAGGACCAAACCATTGCTTGTTTCTGAGTGAGTTTCTCACAACATCATTGAGAGATCTCTTTCCATTCTGACCCACATGAAAGAGGAATGGACACTGAAACAATCGACTGCATTTTGGAAACTATTCAGTTGCCCAAGAACACACAAATGCTTGGTGGAATTTCAAAAGCCAGTAGGTAAGGGCTCTCATAATGGGCATTAGCTGCCTAGGTTGCCCTGAAAATCCCATGGAATAGGTTCCACATGCTCGTGGACCTTTAAAAGTCTGTCCAAACCCACCTCAAATGAAATCACATTCTAAGCAGAAATTTGTATTTAATTACCTTCTGTGGTCAGCTACAGAACATAACTTAGAAAACATTTCTGGTGGGTTTGTTTGGGTCTGTATTTTCCTCAGGGAAGGGCTTTGCTCTGCATTTTCCTTCTCATAATGAGGCACTGTCCCTGACTGGGACTTTTGTTTGGTTTAGGGTGAGTAAAGCAATACTCTGCTACACTTTCTTAGATAAAGCAAGGCATGCAGGCAACATAAAAGTGCCAGCAGCCTTCGTCGCCAGGAACAGAAATGATCATATTTAACAGCGCCGTTCACAGAGAGATTAAACTGGGGCTGGCTGGTGAGAAGCTGTGTAGATAATTTGAAATAGATTCCGAGGGTGAATTACTGCCTGGCTGTCCCACTCACCTCCTCAGTTCTCGGATGTGCGTGCCAACCAGCATTTTAAGATAACTCTGCCCTGTTTGCTCCTTGAATTGTCTGGCTGTTTAACAGGCTCTTCAGATAAACAAGGGATAATCTCAGGATTTTGCTCAACAAAGATTGCTTTGTGTAAATTTTAAAAATTCTCTGAATAGGTTGTTGTACAGGGCCTGGTCCTGAGATTCTTTTTAGCTGCGAATGCTTTCAAGGGAGTAAGTAGTTGCACAATCATAGTTTCAGTAAGTAAATTATTGATAATATCTTCCAGTATATATCAAAATACCTTCCAGTATCTGAAGGGGCCTACAGGGAAGCCAGAGAGGGGCTCTTAGTCAGGAACCGTAGCCATAGGACAAGGAGTAAAGGGTACAAATTGAAGGAGGGGAAATTTAGGTTAGATATTAGGAAGAAATTTTTTACTTTGAGGGTGGTGAGACACTGAAACAGGTTGCCCAAGGAAGTTCTGGATGCTCCATCCCTGGCAGTGATGAGGGGTCTGGAGCATCTCTCTGATGAGGAGAGACTGCAGGAGCTAGGCCTGGTTAGTCTGGAGAGGACTGAGAGGGGATCTCATCAATCCATACAAACATCTCCAAGGTGGGTGTTGGGGATGGTGCCAGACTCTTGTCAGTGATGCCCAGTGACAGGACAAGGAGCAATGGCCATAAACTAAGACATAAAAAGTTCCACCTCAACATAAGGACAAACCTGTTTTCATGGAGGTGGCAGAGCCCTGGAACAGCTGCCCAGGGAGGGTGTGGAATCTCCCTCTCTAGAGACATTCCAACCCCACCTGGATGTGTTCCTGTGTCACCTGCTCCAGGTGACCCTGCCTGGGCAGGGGTTTGGACTGGGTGATCCCCAGGGGTCCCTCCCAACCCTAAATATTCTGTGATTCTGTGATGGATAATGCCTCAAGCAATCTGGTCAGGTGGGAGGTGGCCCTGCCCATGGGTGGAACTAACTGAACGGTCTTTAAGGTTCCATTCCAACCCCTAAACATTCTATAATTCCGTCAATCTATGATAATGACATCATTACCACTGACAACTTTCTCTTTTTTAACTGTTATTAAAAAATAAGAAAAAAAAAAGCACGGAACACAGTACTTCAGACCAAGGAAAGCACAAACCAGGGAGATAAAAGTAAAAAAAAAAAGTGTAATCAGCAAACAGGACAGCGGGCAGCATTTATTGAGGAGTAAGTAAATACGATAAATAATATAAACGGTAGCATTTATTGAGGAATAAATAAACATCATAAAAAATATAAATGGCAGCATTTATTGAGGAATAAATAAATACCATAAATAATATAAAACTATAATAAATTTGTTCAGAAATAAGATATGGAGCTCCACAACCAGGCACTTTAGAGCCTGGGGCAGAGCAGCCTCGGGCCGGGGGTCCCTTCCAAGGCCAAGCGTCCTTTCCAAGGCCAAGGGTTCTTTCCAAGGCCCAGGGTCCCTTCCAAAGCTCAAGGTCCCTTCCAAAGCTCTGGGTCCCTTCCAAAGCTCTGGGTCCCTTCCAAAGTCAAAGGTCCCTTCCAAAGCCGAAGGTCCCTTCCAAAGCTCAGGGTCCCTTCCAAGGCCAAGGGTTCCTTCCCAAGCCAAGGGTCCCTTCCAAAGCCAAGGGTCCCTTCCCAAGCCAAGGGTCCCTTCCAAAGCTCACAGTCCCTTCCAGGGCCCAGTGTCCCGTCCCGGGCCGTGGCTCTCCCCGGGCCCTCCCGGCCGCGGGGGGCGCTGTCTCTTCCGGCCGCTCCCGGCCCGTCTCTATGGTTGTTCCTCCTCCTCGGCCCCGGGAGCGATGGCGGGGCCGGGGCCGGGGCCGGGGGTGACCCCCAAGCCCCCCGTGCAGGTGGTACGTGAGGGCCGGGGGCGGACGGGGCAGGGCCGGGGGTCCCCGGGTGAGGGGGCTCGGGAGGGACCGGGGCTCCCCCCGATCGGAGTCTGCGGCACCACAGGTGGGGCACGGGGGTGGGAGAGAGAGTGGGGAAATATTCCTGCAACGCTTTCTGCTTTGGTTATTCACCGTAACAAAATATTTTGTATATATATATTTTTATATATACTATATATAAATAAATATTAAATATAAATATAAAAATTAAAAATATATATAAATATATCACATATCTCTATATATGTCTCTATCTCTTCTCTATGTCTCTACCTCTATATAACTATATATAAACATATATACAAATATATATATATAACTCTATACAATATTGATTATTAAAGAATATTACGAATTTTTTTTAAAAGTGCTGAACACAGCATTTAGGATCAAGTGCAGGCTGGGGAGTTGCAAGTAAAAAATGTGGTTAGAGGACAGGCGGGAAAGTATGTTATTGATATATAATATTTCTAGATGTATATTCAAATATATGTTTGTATAGATATATATCTACCTATAATATATGTATATATCTGTCTATGTAGAGTTATTTATCTATATAGAGATATCTATCTATATATAGATATCTATCTATATAGATATCTATATATCTATATATAATATACATATCTATATATATATAATATATAGATATATCCATATAGAGATATCTATCTATATGTAATCTTTGTAAATATCTATATGTATATCTCTATGTCTCTATATCTACATGTATCCATATATAATAAAGATATATATATAAAGATTAATTTTGGTTGCATTTGTTAAATTTATACGTATCTGTAGACAGTATATAATAAACATATATATAAAGATTAGTTTTGCTGTTACATTTATTAAATATATACATATCTGTAGAAATTATATAATAAAGATATATAAAAGTATTCATTTTGTTATTACATTTATTAAAATTATACATATCTGTTAAAATTATATATATAATATAAAAAATTTATATATAATTAAAGCATACACAAACATTTATATGTCTGTTACATCTGTGAAATTTATACACACACAGCTGATGGGGTTTGGCAACAATTTAAGGTTAGTCTGGCAAATGCCTGAAAAATAATAACATACAAATCAACGGGCAAGTAAAAATGATGAACAACATCACAGAGTCTCAGATCCTAAAGGCAGGTCAAAGTTTGTGGCCTGAAAATCTCTCTGGGTTAATTTAAATTAATTTAATTTAAAGTATCCCGCATATGAGATTTGACAAAGCTGGTGTGTTTCCACCAACAGCCCTGAGTTTGGAAATAGTTTGGAATAATGGCTCATAGGAAAACTTCATTGAAAAATAGCAGTTACGACTTGTATACATTTTCAGCAGTGTTAAAATGCTTTTCCAGAGTTATTTTCCACACTGGGGGGTAGGTAGGAACCTGCTTGAACTGAAATTGGTGGAAACTGAAAGTTCTCCCTTTGGAGTTGTTTGTCATCCACATTCTTGGAGGGTGATGGTGAGACCAAAAACATCGCAGAACATTCAGCTGCACAGTTTCTGACAACTTTATTTTTTATTTAAAACCTCACCTTCCTCCTCTTCAGTTTTGTGATTGATGTTTTGTTTTTCAGTGGTCTAGCTCGGGGAGGGGAGGGAGTTTTTGGCCTGAGTGATACATTTGTGGACGAAGGGGATTGAAACACTTGTTACCCATTTCACATTGGGTCATTTTTGCCATACGAAATTCACTCTGCAGTGAAGCCAAGAATTGTTCTTCAGCTCAGTGATAGCAAAACTACATGGCTAAAAATAGCCAAAATCACTTCAGATCTCACTCTAGAAGTTCAGGGAAACCCAGGCAGTGTCACAGTGCTCAAATCCAGGTTTGATTCACAGCTCTGTGTTTCAAGAGTCGCTCTTGGCTCATAGGCCATGAAACTCCTCCTCTGCTGATGCTGCTGTAAATCAGTCCCAGCTAATGAAATGGTCATTCTGACTCAGTCGCCACTCAGATGATCTTATATCGATAAAAATACATTAGTTGTTTGCAATTTATGTCCCAAATACTCAAAATTGATTTGAGAGAGCTTTACACATATTTCTGTCGTTCACTATTATGGTAACAGTCTTCAAATATATGAACAAAGACCTGGAATAAATCACCTGTGCTGGAATTGGGAATGTTGGCATAAGCTGCAGCAAAAGGACACTGGGAAAACTGTATTCCAGGTCTCCCTTATCCCTGCTTTTAGTGATTTCCTTAGCAAGGTTTGTATTTCTCCCTGGAGACAGGGTTTGTCAGCAGTGATAGAACTGTAGTTGATCTTGTTTTGGGACAGAAGAAGCAGACACAGTTTCTTGAAGTTACTACCAGCTGGTATTTTTGCCATGAGAATGCAAAGTGAAATAGTGCCCTGGTTCATGTTTTTCCCTCTTTAAATGATCTAGGGAGGTTGAATTGTTGTGACAGAGGAAGATAAAGGCCAATTTATGACGGCCCAGTTCAGCACAGGTGCCAACTGCAACACTTAAGTACAAATGTAGTAATGGACTAGGGAGAAATGAAAGTTTAGATTTTTGATTCATCCTTGGCTTAAAATAAAAGTAAACACAGAAAACCAGTAAGCTGAGCAAGAGTGGTGGAACCTGAGGAAACTCCAGTGAACAACATCAGCAGTGCTCTGGTATGTTCATCATATTTCTGAGTGCAGTTATTTGTGTGGATTTGTTGTTTTTTCAGGTTTTACACAGAGGTGTCATCAGCAGTTCAGCTCTGTACCTTAGTTTGGCAGCTCTGCATGGTGGGCATAGTTCTGTGGAAGTAGAATTTGCTCTCAGTAATGTGTTCAGGAGCATAGTAATATATTATGTGTTATTATGTCGAGTTCAGAGCACCTCAGAGCCAGCAGGTGTTTACGGGTTGTTTTATATCTGCTGTATGTAAGTACTGGGGTTTTCTGCTTTCAGTTCAAACTGAACAGGGAGGTTAAACATTGTATTGCTATTTTGCACTGCTGTTCTGACTTAAAACAGGAGTTCACTATGGAAAAAAAGCAAAGAAGTTCCAGTTCTCAAGCCGACGGCAAGCTCATTTGTGATGGTGTAGTCAAATTTTTACTGAGTGAATCAGAAAACAAATTAAAAAATAACTGATTTTTCTGGATGTACAAAACAGTACAAAGTTTATGTTGTCATTGAAAGAGTTGTGGAACCCTTTTTTCCTGAATAAGTATGTTAGATTCATTAATGTGTGTACCTTATTCATGAATGTGTAAGGTTGCATTTTAATTGCCATCTTGACACAAAGGATATTAAAATCCTGAGTAAATTGAATATTAGTTTAGAATCTCAGATTTGTGGCTATTTTGTAGTCTCAAAGTACTAACCAGAGACAGTTCTGAAATAATCTTTTGTGTCTGTGTGTTATAATTATTGGGTAATCAATTTATCTGTTTTTTTGTTTTGTTTCTCCTTATTTTTTTTATTTATCTCTCCAAAACACAAGTAAAAGGCCTACTTTGCTTAAAATTTTAGAAAGTTTTCCTTCTACTTCTTTTAACTAGCCCTTTCACCTGCTACATCATCCTGCCAAAGATCGGGAGGTTCATTCATTTTAGGCAGGTTTACTATTTTATTTGGCAGTGAAATATTGTTAATTATTGTCCCATACATCCTGCTCTGTCCTACCTGTGCTCCTCAGTGCCTAAAAATCTGCCTACTAATATATTCATCTGTGTGTATCCACACGATTTACATGTGCTCACATCGCACTAAATCGTGAATAATTCAATTTCAGGATCCCTCCAGTATTTTGTTTCCTGAGGTTCTCGCCTGCTTACAATAGGGACTAATCCTCTCTTTCTTCCAACCATGTGTTTATGGTTACCCCACACAATAAGGAGTTTAAGTTCTGTTTCTAGGGACTTCTTGAAATGTCCCCTGAGACTTTTTATGAGTTACTTAGGCCCTTAAGTTCCTCATCTATCAGCGATTTTAACAGGTACAGGCTTGGGCTCTCCCTTTACAAACATAGCCAGTGTTTTACTGGGCTAATTCCTCAGCACTTGGAATTCTGTGAAAGGAATATGTTCTTTTTTTTCAGATCCTGACAGAATTTTGGGGGTTGTTGGCTTTTTGGGGATAATTAAAACAGTGGGGAGTAACTGAACAGAGAAACCCCTCATCTCTGATTTGTAACCAACTTTAAAATGTCTCAGATAGGTTTTCCTGTTTTGTGTGCACATCTGAACCAAGAGGCTATAAAAGGAAAACCTGCAATTGGGATGGCAGAGTATGGAACTACATCATACAGCAACTTCTAATGTGCTTAAGAGCACTTGTAGATTGAATAATTTTTAGAAACTTGGCTCGAGCCCGAAAGTCCAGGCTCCATATTTGAGCATTTCCAATGAGGTAGTATGTTTAAAGAAAAATTAAAGAGTAAGATGTATTAATGGAAGACAGAAGTAAAGAGTGCCTTAAGAAATGCAGGAATACCATAAACAGGTTAGGATGGTGTTACTGATGGCTTTTTTTAGTGGATTTGGTTCAGTGGTCTCTCCTATTGGACTTCTACCAAAACCATCTTGTAGAACTCAAAGAAATTTTTCAAAAAAGCTTCGATAGAGCAAAAAGCAAATCATATATTTATAATGAAAATAAGGGTTCTTTGCCTGCATGTTTTTAAGATGCATTTTTGGGTGAAAGTTAGTTTCAGAAGGATCTGGCACTTCCCCTTTTTAATAAATGTTCTTACACTGTAAGTAAACAAAAATAGTGCTTACTGACATGCACGTGGATTTTTGTTTGGTTTTTTTGTAGTCTGTCATTGTGCCTGTTCACAACAGTGAATGCTGGTTAGATGAATGCTTAAAGTCAGTTTGGGAACAAGATTTTGAAGGAACCATGGAGCTGTCAATTTTTAATGATGCCAGTAAGGTACGTTTCAGACCTTCCTTAAAATAGTGTCCAAGTAAATACTGTCTCTGACAGGAATTTTTGGTTTAGTTCACCATGCAACCTAAAATAGCTGCATCTATGTCATTATTTTTTCTAGGATGGGTCAGCTGAAATAATTGAAAAATGGAAGATCAAGTTGGAAGAAGTTGGGATTCCAGTAATCATTGGGAGTAATGATTCCTCTGAACCTCGAGGTGGTATGTAACTTAATAGAGATTTTGTGAGAATTAGATTTTTATTGCAGGCACCTTCTGGGTTTTAGTTTGAAAAGTGTCCTTGTAGCCATTTGCATTGCAATGGAAAAAAGCCACGTTGTTTTCCAGAGCTCTCCCTTCAAAAACTCATTCCAGTTTAGAACTTGGCCCTGTTGGTTTGGGATGTGTAGAATTTGTTTATATGTCCAGGAAAGAAGAACTTGGCTTAGCACTTGTGCTCTACTCTGCAAAAGAATTTTGTTTAATTATAGTGTACACAATGTTGTTAATGCTTACAGTTTTACTGTGGCTTTCTGATATCTGATTTATCTTCAGGAGATGGGTTTTAAGAAAAAAGAAATGTAAGATTTTGTACATAAAGATTTAAAAAGTGTATGCATTTCTTTCAGTCTTGTAAAATAGGCCTTGAAATAGAAAAAAAATTACAATTTTGATCCCTTTGATGATCAAATATAAACAGAGGTTTCAGAATAGTTTTGATTGAGCTAAAAGCTCTCACTAAACTCCTAAGTATTCACTCAGAGGACTAACCCAGTGTGTTTACTGAGCTGCCAGATAACGTGTGTGGTGTGATTCCCTGTTGATTTACATGCTCATGTGAATCACATTTACCCGCTGCAGGAGATTACAAACAAATCTCTGCAAGAGATTTTCTTTTGCTTAATTTGGTTGGTTTATCTTTAGGGTTTTTTAGCACAAAAGCTTCCTAAAATGTAAAATAGAAATACAAGCCTGTTGCTCTTTGAAGAAGCTGCTGTTGAGTGACATTGAAGTTGGAAGATCATGTCTGTGGAGGAGAACAGCAGGACAAAGCAGGAACAGTGCGCTCACATTTTGTAGGGGAGCTGTGGAACTAATGTTTCTGTCATTCTGGACTTTGTTGCAATGAGTAGACAGGTAGGAATTGTTATAAAACTGGTCCAAATTTGTGTCTTTCAAGTTATCTCGCTTAGAAGTCACACTTTGGAAACACTGTAATACCAAAAGCTGGACAGTTTCTGCTTTTTAACTAAATACCCTTTTTGTAAGTGGAGAGAAACCAAGGTTTATTAGAGTCTCTTCAAAATGATCCTCCTATGCAAAAACCCAGTTCTGTTTCAGGAGGTTTAATTTTCATCCCCAGTTGAAACATGCAAATAAATTGAGAGTTTGGGCACTGAATTAATCTACAACCTGGTATAGGCCCTGGGCTTTATTTACTGTCATTTATCTGACTGTAGACTTTACAGCTGGTTTTAAATAGTTGTGAGACCCAGCAGTACTGAAGTAACACAGCGTAACTGTTACTATAAATATTTTTAGTATTTTAGTATCTCTAGCATGAACTGGTGTTGTTTTGACAGTGCAGCTTGCAATATTAGCATTATTGGGCTGGTGATGAGAAAAGGCAGACGGGGTTTGTAGAGGGAATTTTTCTCTTTTGGGCCACTGATACAGCTGGAATTGAGCAATGTCAAGAATTACTCGTATTCCTGGAAATTTGTCTTCTTTTTTTCCCTCCCTCCACTGGGGGTGATCAATCTCCTTTCAAATCTCACTTCTCTTAGTAGTTGATGATCTAGAAGCTAAGAAGGTTGCAATTTCTCAAGTCAAAGAATAATCCCAGAGGTTGTTAATTATGATACTTGGTTGGTTAGTAATGTTTTTGTTAATACTATCGTGTTGTGTTAACATCTTTTCCATTTTTATAAACATTTTCTATGTCTGAAGTCTTGTTGCTTATAGAGTGCTGTATCAGTTGTGTATAAACTAGTTTTTAGTTTGCCAGAACACACAGACACGATGCTCTGATAACAACTTATGTTAGAATTCTGACTTCAGTTCACCTTTGCACTTCAGGAAACTGAACCTAAAAATGAGTTCCTGTTGTGAATTCCAAGTACATTGTGCCATTAGGGATATGTCAGGTTATATTTTGGCTTAACATGCATTTCTCAGCGTTGGTGTAGCTGCAACCTGAGCAGATCTTTAATTAATTGGGGATGGGGGATGCAGCTGTGAGCATTGTTTTAAATAATAGTATGAAATGCATAGTTGGGCTGAAAAAACAAAGCTCATTCATGTGGAAGTCACTCTCAGGCCACCATTAAAACAAAGACATCTTTCCTTCACAGTTGTAACATTTTAGGAGCAGGTTACTTGAAATCCATAGTATTTGTTTGCTTTCAGTGATTTACTTTTATTATGTTAAGGACTAGGTACAACTGTAAGGAGTCTTGCCTTTAAAAGAAGATGCTTTGGTACAGAAACAATGTCCTAGTCAGGCTTCACATCTTCAACTATTTACACAAGATTAGGATTTATTTCTGATTCTTTTCTAACATGTAAAGGAAAGGGGGGGGGGGGAACCTAGAAAAAAAGAAAGGGTCACTTGCCTAAAAAAAGGAAACCTTTTTCTTTCCAAGAGTGAGGAATGTTAATATCTCACTGAGGCTTAAGTTTTTATGGCTGTAACCATGGTAACAGGCTCTTTTCACCAAGTAAGCAGGCCTTACAAAACTCAGAGACCTGGCACAAACATTTCATTTTGTTCAGTAGAGTAATATTAAAGATATTTTTTTACTCATGCCAAACATAGAATTTGTTGTGGTGAAGCAATTCTTAATACCTAGTTTCTTCTATGGGGATTTGTATCTCCCTTATTAATAATTTAAGAAATATGTGTATTTTCTTCTCTCCTCTCTAAAAAATAGCTGGAAAACTTCAGGATGGTTCTGTCTTAATCTGATAAAGAAATATTTTCCAACTCTCTCTCATAACAAATACTAGATATTTCATGATTTTATTTAAAGTGGTTTATTTGAAAATGAGATCTGAAATATTTCAGGAAGTTCATAGAGTAAGATACTTATCAAGCAAAAAATTGTCATCTTGTAGTTGCTTTTGAATCTCCTTCACTTTTTTCCTTCAATTTTGATTCTTTGTCCTTCATTATTGTCAACTGAAGGTGGTTGAAATATTGGGGTATGGTAATGAAATTAATTGAAATGTAAGTACAGGCTGTTTTACACTTGGCAATTGCTGTAAAGTATGAGTTGTGTGATGGTACTGATTTGTTTGATGTTGCCAAATTTAATTCTGTCCTGTTTTTCTGTCCTGTTCTTTTACCTCTTGCTTTAGTAGGGACCTCCTCAGTATTGGGGTTTTGCTGGCTTGGCATGTCCAGACCTGCTGAGTTGCAATCAGTTGTTTCCCACAAAAACTGCTCGTGCCAGGATTCAGCTCTGCTGTTGGGGCAGCTCCTGTCTTTGCCAACTGCTTTTTCACTGCCAATAGGAAGGAGACTGAGAGTCACTGTATATGTGAGATTAGATATTCATATGTGTAGAAAAGGTAGTGTGTAAATAAACTGTAAGATCATAAGTCCAAGAAATCCACGATGAAGAGACGTTAAGGTGAGGATTAAAGTGCACAAGAGTAACAGAGTTATAAGGAAGAGCCTTTATTAGCAGTGTTCTGGTGGTGGTTGACATAATGTTCCTTGGAGGCAGCAAGAAATGCAGTCATAAGTCTTTTTCTGTACTTGGACTACTCAGCAAAATAGCCAAGGAGCACGTGCATTACAGCTCAGGGAACCTTTGAGCCCGGTTAAGTTTATTCCCTGAGCAAACTTAAACTTTATCACATAAAAAGAGTAGAGAATTAGAGAAGTCTGCATTATTCAAATGCAAAATCTGAAACTTTGGGGATAATGATAGTTAAAATTATTCTCCTCTGCTTCATGGTGGGATTTTCTGGCTTTACATTTCCAGTTTTCCCATTAAAGAATAAAACTCCCATATTGTATTGTGTATCTTCACATCATTTGGTTTGCAAGTCAGGGCACTCTTTTGCTGGATTCCCTGACTTGTTTCCATTAAATACTTCAAAGCTGAAGTGTTACATATGTGACCAAGTGGAATTCATATGGAATTTTTCAGAATGATGCTGGATACAGTCTGATCTTTTCATATAATGCTACCCAGGAGAAGAATTCAGAATGTTCTTAGGTAGAACCTTGTCTACCAGCAGAAATTATCCCAGGTAAACACTCCTGCCTTGCAGATGTATTTCATGTTGTGGTATAAATTAACCAGCTTTGTGCTCTTTGTATGTATCTAATCAGTCCTGCTTTGGCTCCCCTCTGCATTACACATGTCATTACATAAAGGGCACTTAAAGTTTTTGTGTTTGCAGACTTTATATTTAACAAGCATCACAGAACAGAACTTAATTTTTGAGTCCTTCTGAGGACCTGTCCCCCTGATGGGAAGAACAGCAGTTTCTGGATCTTTCTTTGCCTCTTTTATGATTTGTTGGTATTTGTTATGACTCTAAAGGTGAATGTATATACAGCCAAGGGGTTTCAGCATCTGCTCTTTGCAGGGATTGGAACAAAGTTCCTTCCAACTCAAACCATTCTGGGATTCCATGATCTGAGGTTTTGGATGTGAAACCTAAACAGCTAGATGACTTTAAAGGTTCCTTCCAACCCAAACCATTCTGGGATTCAGTGATCTGAGGTTCTGGATGTGAAACCTAAACAGCTGAACTTCTCAAGATGTGTGTTACATATTATATCTTTATGGAGGGCCAGCAAAAGTGTTCTAATTCTGCTTGATGGTAGAATGCTGATAATCACTCAGAGAAGAAGACTGAAGTAGGCATCCTATTTAAATATTTACAAATTACCTTGTTTTAAATATGGAAAAATCGTGGACTTTCTGTGATACTGATTCTCATATTTTCTTTCATCTGTTCCTGACAATAGTAAGATTTAAAAAAATACAATGGTAAAAACTACCCCATAATTTTGTCTTTGTTTTCTCAACAGTTGGATTTGCTAAAAATCAAGCAGTAATTCAAAGTTCAGGAACCTATCTCTGCTTTCTGGATTCAGTAAGTTAACGCATTTCATCTAACTTGGTTTTGTTGATATAATTTTATTGGTTTTAATGTAGTTGTTAATTGTTTGATTTGCCTTAAAGCTGTTTAAAGGTGTTTGGGTGTTAAATGTGCTGGTTACTATTTATAGCTCCAAAGTTGTCTCCCAGCCTGTAGAAAGCCTCACACCATTCTTTGGTTACATCAGATTCCACAAGCTGGTGTGAGCAGGGCTGGGCCAGGTTGGTATTTAAGTGTTTTCAGGATTTTTCTTTCCCACATTCTACAGAAAATTGTATTGAGGAGAAACTAAGAGCTAATCTGTGGCTTTTTGATGCAAAGCAGGAGAGGTCTCACCTTCCATCTTGAATTTTTTTCCCAGTCCTTTGTGGGATACCTTCTGTGGAGCCGTTCAGCTCAATAACCCAGAGATAAGGATCGGACTTGGTGCAGCTGAATGTGCAGGGAAGGGTTTCAGAGGGTGCAGAGCTGAGCTGGGGAGAGGGGCCTGTGCCTGGGATCAGGCAGGAGGAGCAGGACCTTTCAGGCTCCCTGATCTCCTGTCATTTCACCTGGAGGTTGAGCCTTTGAGCTGGAGCTGAACTGGGGGCTGTGTGGGACAGGGTGAACTGGCTGCTGACAGGGGAGGTTTTCAGGTACAGTCCAACTTAATATTGTGATTGTTTGTGCTTGTTAGAAAGTGTCATGAGAGCAGGGATGTGAACTCTACAGCCTTACTCAGCTTTTAATTGGGATAATCTTTCAGTTTGCAAACTCCGTTGGCTGTATCAACTAGATAGAAGGATTTTTTGTTGTTCATGTGTTAAAATTCTGTGAATTATTCAGTATACTGTTGCAAGACATGGTTAGAGGTACTATATTTCTGCTGACCCAAGGAAATGCAGCTGAAATATCTTGTACCATTTGAAAAATTACATTTTGCAGGTGGCTTTCTTGGCCTTTATTCTTGCTTTTGTTAAGTTATTACTGTGCTCAGTGTGCCTTGTAAAATGTGTTTATTTGAATTTGTCCTCATTTAATAGTTTGTTGGTTTGGGGGGAGTGTGTTTGTTTGTTTTACAGAGTGTATTTCATGTAAATTTTTGTATATAAGTTTATGGAAGGTGAAGCTTTGAAATGCAGTATCTGATGCACAGGGGTATATGTGGGTATGGCAGAAGTAAAATTTTGAGCATCCATTGAACACACAGAGCTCACAATCACACGTACAAGTTACTGGGGTTTGAAAAGGTTGTTTTCACAGACATCAAAAAGTAAATATTTCCTATCCAGCACTGAGCATCAGCGTCCATTTCATAAACAAAGCATGCTGAGGAAAGAGGAACACAAAAGCCACTGATGTGATTTTGGTCACCTGGCTGGGCAGGTCATCCAAGAGTGGAGGGACCTTATAAATTATGCCAGGAACTAATTGGAGTGATGCCAGTTGTGCTGAGGTGGATGAGCTCAGGATCAAGTTCTTTTTGCTTTACTTGGGCAGACACAAACCCAAGTGCCATTTTGTCTATACAAGTGATTTAACTCTCCTGTGTTTGGAGTCAGTGAGGCTGTTTATATACCTAAAATGAAAAAAAAAACCCAGATCTTATGATTTCCAAAGCTCAGGTATTCCAGGCTTGGACAGATCCCACATTGCAGGAGGCATTCCAGGCAGTCTGTATGAGTTACATATGTACTTATGTTGACTGAAATTAATTGAGGCCACATGTACATGAATGAGAAATTAATCTACCATTGTCCCATGGAGCTTCATATCTTCTATCTCAAAATAATTTACTGAGGCAAATTATAGGTTAGTCTTTCTTTTCAATCCAGACAGGTCTAATTGTTTGTAAATCAAAAGCAGCAAGCTAGAGAATTAAATTCTCTAAATGAAATTAATTCATATTTTTACAGTGATATCTTCAGAATTCTACATTTGTTATTTACCAAGTGGTGTACATCTTCATGCTGCTGTGTTGTTTCTATTTGCTGGCTAACTATGCAGGAAAATAAAACATCAGGGAAACAAATTACAACTACTAAGGAATATAACAGGTGATGATTTTGTATCATTAGCATAAGTTTATATTTAATATCATTAAGATCTACTTGAAGTGAGTTGAGAATTTTATGACTTACAGTGTGGATAAGCTTGGGAGGAGTTACAAAGGTTTTCTGTTCTGTGCACTTTTATTTCTGCTTCAAAACAGAGGCATTCTGAACTATCAGAAGCTTAATCTCGATACAAAAGAAATATCAAAATTAATTATTTGCATTAATAATTTGCATTAATTAAATGCATTTTCTGCTGTCTGTCCCTGTGACTACCATTTCTTTTGCTGAAAACAGATCGGAGGATATAAAATGACTGTGGAAACCGCTCCAAGTCTAAAAATTGCTCAATGTTTTGGCTGTAGCTGGTCAATGTTGTGTGATAAATGCTGAAACACAGATGTTGCCAGCTGTTTAACAACTCTGCTTCCACACACCACCTACCTTCTTCATTGCAGTCACCAATCCAGTATCCAGCTCTCTAGGAAGGAATGCTGATATCAGCCCTCTGGAATGTGCTGCAGCAGTGCCAGGGAACTGACCTTCAGAAGTGCAGCCACAGCTTCAGGTTTGCTGGAGGTGGATGGCTGAAAATGGGGAGTTTTGCATAAAGGTGGAGAAATACACGGTGGCTCTTTGTGCATTCCTTTGTCTTCTCAGAGTAAAAGGATGTAGGAACATATGTGGGAGCATCTTTGGAAGTACTGGCTCCAGAGAGACTGTTTTGCTTGCCATTCCAGCTGGAGTCAAGCTGCTTGTGTTATGTCTCTCAACGCAGATTTGTGAGGACAACAAACTGGGAAGAAATGTGGAAAAAAAAGGTTGCAGAGCTCAGAACTGTCAGAATTTGATCAGCCCATTCTAGTATGAAGTGGCAGCTGTTTGACTAACAGCCATTGTGCAGTTTTTTTGCCATGGTTGTTCTTACAGATTTCACCTCTAAGCTACTGAGGCATTTTTTTCCCCACTGGGAAAACAAGTAGAAAAATTGAAGATACTTCACAAACTTTTCATATTTAACATTTCTAGTATCAGGAAATGAGAGCTAATTATGCAAAATATTTCAGTGTTAGCTTTACCCTCCTAAAACTGTCTGCAGTTATGACTTTATCTACCAGTTTCATTGTGCTGTAGCTGTAGTTTGTCAGTTCTCTGGGGTCATGCCATCTTTGTTAGAAACACTTCCCCAGTTGCAGCACAGCAGAACTCTCACACTAAAAATCCTGTTTGCTGCTTTGAACTGCTGTTTTCTTTGACATCCACTTAAACATGCCTGTACTTGTGTAAAACTGTACTTCTTTAAAAAGGAACATGCTTTCATTTCATCTTAATCATCTGTGTAGTTTCCAATTCTTTCAGCTTTAATCAGTGTGTTGTTGGGGATTGTTAAAGGAGAAATATAAAAATGTGTCCTTTTTTGACCTGCAGTATTTCAGAGCCAGTCATATTCACTTGAGTCCTTGACACGCTTGTTTTAATCTTTTGAAAGGCTCTGTTGGCAATGTATCACTATTCCAGAGATTCTCAGGCAGTTCAAAGATGTGACTCTAAACCATGTCACCACTAAGAGCTGAAAATGCCACGGGGACACAGTTGAGTTTTATTCACCAACAGTGAATCCAGGACCACTGGATTTGACATTCCCATGTTTAAGTGGCAGCTGCTGACCTGTGCCTTTCTGGTTGTGAGATTGGCTTGTATGATTTAAGCTGGGAATGGTAATTTTAAATTGCTGTGAAATTTCATGTGTTCCTTGAGTTTCAAGTTCAAACCCACTTCCTCGAGGGGCTGTTGATGAAGGTCTCGGAGGAAGGAGGTTGGACCTCAGCTAAATGTTTCAGCCTTCAAAATAACATTCAGTTATAAACAGAGCTGCTTGGTTTTACTGTCTCCATAACCTGCTGGGTTTGAAAACATAGATTTCTTGTTAGTTGTCATTATATATGTATATATATAAAAAAAAATATATTTTATATATATATATAAAATATATATATATATTACAGGCACTAAGAAACTTTTAAAATATTCTCCCTTTCAAATTAACACCTGTACAGCTTAGGAAATGAAGCTGTGATCAGACTTCATGTGTTTGGTTTCTGCTGTTGTTTAACATGCCATTCCTTGAGAATTTCATCCTCTGATTTAAAAACTGAAATAAAGCTGTTACTCAAAGTGGATGTAGTGATGAACTCCATTACTAGAAGACCCTTTCTGTCCAGAAGAGTTGTCCACGTTTCTGAATCACTAATGAGCCCCGAAAAATCAAACTAGAAGTGCTTGAAGGCATCTTTGCTTTTATTGTTCTGTAAGGATGTGCTTGTACTAAAAACAGATTAAATGTCTTTATCTGCTATGTGCAATGTTAATTTTCTGTTTCATAAATGAAGAAGCAAACCTTCTGGATTTGGTTGCCATAACATCTCTCTATTTGGAGTGTTTGGAACTGACAGTGAGGATTTGATTCCTCTCTAAATTTATTGGCTTTGCTATGGAGCACCATGTGAGTTACCTGCTTCCCTTGACTGCAAACACTCACACACTTTATTTTCATTGGCCCAACTGTGAGAAAAATCATAGGTGAACTCCAATAACCACAGAAAAGCAAGATATGAGAAGGCATTGCCTGCATTTATTGAACAAATGCATGGAGGTGGGAGCTACTTTGAAAACGTCCTGATCAACTAGTAGTGATGCTGAATTAAAACATTCCATAAAAATATGGTGAGGCTCATAAGAACACCAGTATATCTTTCATGTAGACCTGTTTGTTGCCATGCTCAAGAATAGAAAGGTGTTCAGTGCAGTCAGCTTCTTAAACTTTGAAGTGTTTTCTTTCTTGTCCCCCTCTTTCTCAGTTTAATTCAGGAGCAGAAACAGAAAAGTAGTATTTTTTTTCCTATGATCTTGCAAGTACTGACAGATCATTAGTCTCAGGTGACTCGTGGGTGCCATTAGAGTGCCTGATTTGATGAGTTTGATAGTGTGAGGCTGTTTTAAAAACCTGCCCCTGGAGAACTGCCTGGGATCAGGGTATTTGCTTTGGTAGAGCTGTTGACAGGCCAAGCTTTGGAGGTCCCAGACCTTTCATTTCCCTGGTTCAAGGAGTTGAGCTGAACAATAGCAAAGAAAGATTTTCACTATAGTCTGAGCAGGTGCAGCACAAATGAATGACCATTTGATGGATTGAAAGACTTTGGAGATGCCATATTGTTGCTCAGTGAGTGAGACATTCCTCCTGGTGCTTCTACTGGTTGTGTTTTATGTGTAATAACTGCAGCAGAAAGAAGGTGCTGTTATTATGGGGGTGGAGGGTATCAGATCTCAATTTTATTTTTTTTTTTTGAGCAGCCAAACACGAAGGGAATTTGGAAAAGCCTGTGATGCTGAGTCTGTAATGTGAGCCTAAGAAAGCACTACAGTACTGAGCTACAATTGGTGTCTTATTTTTTTGTGAACTTGCCCTTGGGTGCCAAAAGTGTATTTTACATTGAGCTGTATATTTTGTTTTACTTTCTGAAGTTCAGAACCCCCCACTTTTAAGGGAAAATCATGAAGTTATCACTGTGGAGCTCAGTGTGGGGCAGGCAGCCTGGTTGAAGAAAGAGGCCAGTGAATGCTTGTCATTTGAATTTATCCAAATTGATTTAAGAAACCCATCCTGAAACAGCAACAGCTTTGAGTAGCATCCTTAAGCTCAGCCTATTGGTTTAGTTTTCCTTTTCTCCAACTAAACATGTGAGTTAAGTGAAACAAAGCAATTAGCTCAGTGTAAATTGTCTGTGTTTTTATCGAGCCTGGTGCCGGCGGTTGGGAGGAGAACAGCCCAGCTGAGGATGTGGGAGCTCGGCAGGAGCAGGGCAGGTCTGCAGAGGGATGAGTGGGATGGGGCAGGAGCAGACAGGGCTGGGAGGTGCTGGGAGGTCCTGGGGATCACAGCCCCACTGCCACAAACTCACCTGGGCTGCCCCAGAAATCCCTGCTGCCTTTTCCCATGAAATAAACTCCTTTTCATTCCCCATCTTTCAGCAAATTGTTCTGCTCAGAATGGACACTGCAGAAGAAGCAGCATGTTTGTAATCACCAAAATTCCTATAAATTCTGTGTTATTTTGGGTGCCTGGAGAAGTTTCTGTTTGTTGCTTTGTTTCCTGCTGTGTACCTGTTTGGCCTTCTTTGCATTGCATGGATGAACATATTTAGGTGACAGCAAACCCATCTGTTACCTGAGACTTTTCTAAATTTTTCTGCTAAGTTTGGTGAGTGGGGTTACGTGAAAAAATATTTCTTTACAGATTCATACTTAGCTACAGTATTGCAAGTATATGATTAGGGAAGGCTTGCATTTACCTAGCATTTATTTTAAACCTGTTATTTCCATTCTTTCATTCTCTCTTCATCCTGTATATCTGTATATCTGCTAGGGGACAACCATTAGAAACATCCATGTAAACAGAGAAAATTGAATTTCAGTAGAAACTTCTGTTAAACTTCTGTTTTTTAAAATTATGTATTCAGTGTAACTCACTGCTGGCATTGTTATCTTCCCTACTCTCACCTAGGAGACAGAAACAAACTAAATATACTTCCCTTTTTTGGCTACATTCGGATAGGCCCTTTTTTTTTCTGTTTGACATGACAGGAGTGAAAAATAATTTTGAAAGTGTTTGTCTAATTACTGAGGTTTTGTTCTCAGTTTTAAACCAAAATAAGAAGACCAAACTCTAACTGTAGAAACCAAAGTCTGGCAACGTGTTTTCTGAATTCAATATCATGAATACAACAAAATTGTATTTGTGATTGCATAATGTACAGCTGGATAAAATACTTTCAACTTCTCAATTGTCCAGTATTACAGTTGCTAAAATTCCATAAACTCTTATCACTACAGTGCATGGTTGGGCCTCTCACTCCTACCAGTGGCCTCTGAAGTTGAAAAAAAAATTAAAGTGCTTTTATTTTGTGGTACAATTGTTTTAATTTTAATCATTAGAATTTAATTTGGTTTTTAAACACTGGTCTCAAATATATCTACATTACTTAAGATGATTTCACTATAAATATAGTTTGTTTTCCACTTTGGCCCAGTCATCAATAGTGAAGAATCTGTTGAAGGTGGATTTTGCAGCTGCCTTTCTTTCATAGTTGCCCAACCTGAGTCCAAGAATGACTGATGTGTCTCAGTTTTGTCTTGGATTGACTTGTATTTTGTGCTGTTCTTCCTCATTGCCTAATTCCTGTATTATTTTATTTGAGATTATGTCTTAAATTATTATATTCTTTTTTCCCTCTTCTTTCTCCTTTCATGATTATGGAAGCATCACAGAACAGTACGTCAGCGCAGCGTATTTGTAAAGCTATTAATAAAAAGAAAAAAAGACAAAATTATAAAAAAACCAAAGGTCATTCAGGATAAGAGTTCATAGAGTTTTCCAGCATTAGAGAACAAAGCTGTATTAATAGAAAGAGGCATTTTGAAGTTTTTGTGGTTCTAGTGCCCCCTCTTTAGCTGGAGTTTGCAGAACACTGATGCTCCCTGATAGCCTGAGACCCAGATCTGTAGATGTGTGTTTTGCCAACAGCACCAAAATGACACAGTTTTGTTAAGGGAATGAGACCATTCCTGTCAAATTGTCCTCTTCTGAAAACATGACATTGACCTGTTTGGTGAATGGAATATTTGAATTTGATTTGAATACTTTCCACCCTCATTTAACGTTTTTAAATCAAGATTATTTTTCATCTCTGTGTATGAGTTCTGTTAAAGGGATCATAAACAATGGAATCTTTTAGCATGTATTTTGTATCTTGTAAGAGATTATAGTAACAGTATTATAAGCATTTAAATTCCATACTTTTTGGTAGATTTCTTTTTCATTCTCTCTTTTTTTCCACATTTAACAAGAAGACATGTAAGAATCTTTAGTTACTTGTAAAGGAGCGAACAAGGCTCAGTTAAAAGTTATCCCCTATTGTTTATATGCAAACCAGGTTTTAATTTACAAAAATCAGCTCTGTATTTGGCAATAGGATTATGGTTCTTCTGGGAAATAGGGTAAAGGTTTTATTGGAACATTTGTACAGGATAAGTACAGGAATTCTGGTGCCTTATTGATAAAGTGGATTAAATGGTAAATAATTCTGTGGTAATTTTGAAGTAAGTCATGTACAGACGCTGAGAAATCAGAAGGGTTTTTTCACTCCATTGGCTTTCAAAATCAGTAACAGCTGTCCTGCTTATTACTAAATATATCCTAAATACAGAAAAATGCTTTTGACAATGTATTCCTTCCATCTTTTATAAACTTAGATATGATAAGGGTCAGTTTTATTATTCATTTGTTTTATCTTTAACCTTGAATTGTATTAAATAGTTGGATCTACTTCTAAAACTTTTTTCATCATGAGTTGTTTTGATAAAACTATAGTGGCACCTTTATAGCAAGGTCATTCAACCCTTTAAGCTTGAGATATTTAAGCAGCAGTATATGTTTTCGTTGCCATTGATTTGATGGAAAGTTTTATTGTGAAAGTTGTTGCAAATTCCATATTGGGGTTTTTGGCTTTAGCAGGAATTTCCTTAGAGTGACGACCTGTTAAAAGAGTGGCTGTTGAACAGGAAATCAGGGCTCCTTTGAATTAATGTTTGCCTGATAAGGTTATTTGAAAATATTCTGAGAAGAAATAGGCTATGTTAGCTTTCACCAGCATCTAAGAAAGTCTGATCCTTTAAAAGGGAGGAAATATGGCACCAAAATGGAAAACAATACAGTTAGAAACCTTAGGAGGCTAAATTTAGAGAAGAGAATTTGTGCTAAAGTTTTTATAGACTGTAAAATCATGGTCTAGAAAGGATTTAATTCTGAACAGGAAATAATATGATTTTGAAAGGAATCTCTCCTAGCTGTCCAGGGAAGGTATGCAAGGTTACTAACTCTTCAAAAAGCATCCTTTCTGTATGTAAGTAAAATAGATCTTTATGCTACAAGTGGAAGAAGTACTAACATGAAGTCAAAATCTAGGTGGTGTGTTTTAAAGCCAGTGCCAATGCTGATGCATTTTAAGAGTGTGGGTACTTTCCTTTTTTTCCTTTTTCTCTAGAATTTTATCATTTCACAAATGCTAGTTTCTGTGCTCATGGTATATGACATATTTCTAGATCTAGACACCGAAGGCTTGTCGTTGTCAATGAAACAAGGTACAGCCAGACTAAAGAGAACATTTCCTTGTATTGCTGAGGTGGCTCAAATCAAGGTTTGAATCAGGGTTAGTTCCTTGTGCTGACACTGCCAGTGCTGCTCTGGGAGTTGTGCAAGAGTTGGTGAGTTTGAGAAATAAATGTGTGGGTGCTGTCGACGTGTGTTGAGATCCCAGCGCCGTTGTCACGTCGTAGTTTTGATCACTTCCAGCTTGAGCAGCGCTGAGTTTAATCCATGAAAAGTCTGAAGACTCTTAATATCTGTTCCATTTGCATTTCTGACTGCAAGCCAGTAAAATGATGTTAATTTAGCAGCATATTCTGATGTGTGTCAGTACTGTACTGTGACCCTTTTTATGTTCAGTAACAGTGTGCTATTTATTCCAGGATGATGTGATGATGCCACAGCGGGTTAGGCTGCAGCACCAAGTTGCCATTCAACACCCAAACAGTGTGAGTACTTTTTTCTTGTGTGTATTTGTGGGTTTTTCTTTTACAGAGTTCCGGATACATCTTTAAAAGGATATGAAAATTTCACAGTCGGGCTGGTGGAGGCAAAGCAATAACTAGTGTATTCTTTTCCTTTATTTTTAATCCTTGCACTGAATAGGAGCTTTGATTGAACTTCTCTTCTTCTTTTTATTTTCTCTGTTCAGAAAACCAGATCTCATTATAACAGTGAAACTCTTTTGCAAAGGAATATACAGGTTTGGCTAATGTCTGTAATCTAAAGGAGAATCTCTTTTTATGTAGCTTAAGTCATGTGAAAAGCTGCAAAGGATTGGCTACAGCTATGGTTTATCTGGTTTTAATATTTGAGAGACTATAAACCATGGGGAATGTATGGGTTGTTATTACTGAAAAACTGGCCTACAGTTCAGATGGTGTTTCTCCCTATGTCTGCCTGCAAAAGAAAACAGCATTAGAAGGCCATTCTTTATTCCTGTGAAATAAACTCTTGAGAACACTGTGAGATAGTTCTTCTCTGACCTATATGCTTTTGATTTTAAATGATTTTCTGTGATTAGAGTCAGTATTCGTTAGAGAGAGTTTGTGTATATGCTCTACTTACCTGAATATATATATATATAAATAATTTGTTAAGGCTCTAACTTTATTTCTCCATGTTATTGACATAGATATTCCTTTATAAACTTGAAAACTGAGTTTGTATCCCTATCAGCCATTTTCAGCAAAATCAGCCTTATTGTTTGCACGTCTCTGACGTTTCCTCTTGTGAAAGTTATTTCAATGTGCAAGAAGTGTCTGGAAAGGGAAGGTCAACTGACTCGATCTGTCAAGTAGGTATTTCCTGCAGGTCTCTGAACAAAACAGACAGTTTTAGGATTATCACTGTCTGGGAATTAAACACCTTTTGAACTTTTCCTCCAAAACACTCTTGCTTCAAAGTAGGGATGATTGTAGTCATTTCAGCTGAGGAATGTCTGCCAAACAACCTGCTGCTGGTGGTGGGATGTGAACCTGCTCATCACACCACCTGTAGCAGGCTCTTCGAAATCTGATAATCCTTACGATGTAATTTATTAAATTATAGTTTTGGTGCTGCCTGGGTAGCAGTTAACCTAATTCACATTATGAACATAATAAAATGATAAATTGAAAGTTGTTTTTGTTCTGATAGTGATCAGTTAATGTAATCCCTCAGCCAAATGCCAAAAAAACCGGAGAGGCAAGTTGATCCAGTAAGCTTGTTTTATGGAAATTAGTTTCAAGAGCTATCCTATTTCTTGCTTATGTGGCATCTATAGCTGTATATGAAGACTTTTTAAAATTAGACTAAATTCAACTAAGCAGTTTGTAGTCTGCTTAGAACATGCTTCGACTGTTTTGTTAATAGTCTGTTATACTTTTTAGTGCCCAACAACAATCAGTATGAACAATCAAACAAGTAACAAAGGGGGCCTGAGTAGACTGAAGGGTAAGGCTTCATGATCTGTTCTAAACAACATGAACTTGTTATTCCCATGTTCTAAACTCACCTAAACTCGTGGTCCTGTTGCAGTACTTGTGGTGGGCTGGCCCTGGCTGGACTCTGTCACTCCCCTCAGCAGGATGAGGTGGTGGGAGAAGACAAGATGGAAAAGACTGCAGGGTCAAGATAAAGGCAATTTAATAAAAGCAAAAGCAGAGGAATATCCCTTTGGTCAGTTTGGGTTGGCTGTCCTGACTGTGTCCCCTCCCCACCCCCAGCCTGCTGGAGAGGGGGAAATGCTGGAGGGGCATCCCTGCTGTGGGAGCACTGCCCAGCAGGAGCCAGAGCAGCAGAGTGTTACCAACACCTCTCCAGTTACCAATACACAGCACTGGAAGGGCTGTCTGGGCAAAATTAACTCCATCTCTGCCAGCCCCAGGACATTTTCCTTGTTGCAGGTATAGAAATGTTTGTAATGCCTAGGGGAGGTATAACCTGGGTTAATGTTGTATTTTGCAGAACTCTGATTCAAAGGCTTGAAGGAGAAAAGGAAGCATATCCAGCTCTTTCTAATGAGCAAATAGATTAGTTTGGTCCAGAGCTCCTCTAAAGTTCTGACAGAACTTTGAGAAAAGTTGATCTTCTGGTCACAAATCTACTGACCAATGTCAGGGTGGAATGGTGTTCTTAAAAGAATGATCTCTCTGCTGCCCTCAGAATAATTGTGCCATTCAATTTTCTGGCCTTGGAAGATGGTTGGGCGTGTTTGAATGTTTTGTTCTGTATTTGAAGTCGTGGCCATAGCTTCAGTCTGATAAGGCAGAGTAGGTGGAGGGGCAAAAAAAAAAGGCAAAAATAAAAGCAAAAAAAAAAGGCAAAAATAAAAGCAAAAAAAAAAAAGCAGAAGCTTGAGAAATGTCCATGAAGCAGTGAGCTTTTTTGGTTTGTTCCTGAAATTCTAATTTGCAGACTTGGACTTTCCACTGTTTTGCAACTTTTTCTGACCTGGATTTTTGACTTCATGTAATCTCAGTGTATGTTCAGAAATTTTATTCCTAATCCTGACGCTGCTGATTGTTACTGGGAGTCAGATTTGAAGACTGGGCTCTAGCATTAGAGGCTTTAGTCCACTGTTGTTACTGGTATAGTTTTACAGGTAGGAAAAGTCTCCAGCTTCCTCCACCAAGAGAAATCTCCCAGATCCAAACTAATCCCCGAGGTTCTTCCTCTTCTGTGTTACTCTTAAATGCAAATTGCCTTACCCTGCCTTGAAGCCTGGTTACTAAACAGCAGAACCAAAGGTATCAGATGCCTCTGGGATACTCCCCAACGAGTTCTTCTTCAAGGAAACATGTGTCTCTATCTCTGAAAAAGCAAGAAGCATGTCCCCTGGTTCAGGTGCTGAAACATGACTGGGGGAACCCTGCAGCAGCCTGAACCTTTGTGTCTCATTTCCTGTATCGGAGGCTACATATCTGTGCTTTAAAGAGCAGGGTAATTTCTATTCTCTTAAGCTGCTCTTATCTGGAAGACTTTAAAAAAAAAAATCTCGTAGGGTGGAACTGTTTTGTCCGTGGTAAGTTTAGAGTGGAGGATTTGGGATCTGAAAAGACAAATGACTAATACATTGTTCTTTTTTATTAAAAGCAGCTCTCCAGGACTGCTGTCATCCTGTCCTCTGGTGATTATTTCACATCATCTTCAAGTCCTGTTGACAGGGATTCTATAAATAGAAACTCTCAGAAGACACAAGTTTTTGAGACTTTGAGTATTTACACTATGAATTCTTAAGTTCTGCTTAAGAAATATCTAGCTCAGTGTGAATCCCTGCTTTTACCAGTTGGAGAACTTAGGGACATTATCCTGTCTATTGATAATGTAACGACTACCAATCTTTGGTGGGTTTGGACATCGTATTGTCTGCTGGGCGTGGTGTAACTTTATTCTTTCTCTCACCACCCTTTATTTGAGTATATTGTCCCCCACAATATGACTTTGCACATGAGCAGCATGTGGCTTCAAGTTTTTGTATCTTTCTTTCAGCAGAATTGCTTATTAAATAGCTGAACTTTTCCTGACTGTCTCCCACCTCAATGAGGAAACAACAGCTGGAATCAGAATGTGGGCAGTGGAGATAAAAACATTATTTCCTTTTGTTTTCACTGGCTGAATAAGAGGTGAATCAGTACCAGTGTGACAAGGAACACCTTTCTTTTTGTTGTGAAATTACAGGCTCTGTCTCAAACCTGTAGGATACCTAGGCATGTGAGAGAAAACTGAATATACCATTTGCATTTCTTCAATGAGAAATTCTCACTATTTTGCATCTCTAAACCAGATTTTTGGCATATTCTGCAGCTTGGGTTTGGAGCAAGAGTTGCAGTGCCTGAGGCCTTTTTTATCTGTTGCAGTATCTGCCTGTGTTAACCAACTGACTGAATTCTGCATATCTTTGATGGTTAATGTGACTCTAAGATAGATGATTGGAAGGAGTGCACTCCAACAATGCCTGGCACTGGTGGCTCACAGACCTGTTCACCTGCCTCTGGGAGAGCTGGAAACAAATATTGTGCAATGGGCAAATGAGTTGGAGAAATGAGCAAATGAAGGAGAGAAATGAGCTGGTCCTTTGTAGAAGGCACAACTCTAGGCCAAAGGTATTCTCTCCCACCCTTGCTGAACCTCACAAATTAACTACATTTAGAAATTAAGGTGGTTTTTTTTCGCTTGGTCTGGAAGCACACTTTTAAAATTTATTTTGAAAGTCATAATCTAATAAAGTTTTTGAAGTATCACTGTACCCTGTGCTGTTCTACTTGTCTGTACCTCTCACATGTTTCTGTTACATGTTAGAAAGAAGAAAGACTGTTTTTTCTCATCTCCCTGACTTGCCTTCCCTATTGCTTATTGAGCACTAGTTTGAATCATTCACTCTTTTTTGTGACTAAAATGGTCAGATCCAGTTGATTCTTGATTATGTCAGTCCTTTTACCTTCCATCTTATGAATTTAAATCAATACCTGAAATTGCAAGTAAAGATTTGCTTCTAGTAGCAACAGAAAAAATATACAATGAAGTGAGTCCTTCTTGCATGTTTCATTAAAATACAGTTTTAGTGGTACATGAAGTAGATATTGAGGTGGAACAGAATTTTAAGATCAGCATTCTGAGTGTTTATATGGCTACTGTGATAATGAGATCTGATTTAAAGATTGACAATTTCAACTATTTTTGCCTTGACAATACACAGGTTTTTTTTAATAGGAGTTAATCTGTGAGAGCAGTTCTGGCTTAACAAATATTGAGCTTTGTTTTGTTCTGAGTGCAAAAAGATTCATTGACATTCTTACATCATCTCTCAGTTCCATATTTTAGATGTAGCTCTTGTCCCTGGAGGTGGGGAGGGAGGGAATTGTAGGTAGTCTGGACCAGTTCCTATACATTGTCTTGCACTTTGTCAGAGCAGTTCTTACAGTCAGTGTGCACTGGATTATTTTGTACACAAAAGAGCACTGGATGT